GTGTGGCTACTAGAAAATTTAAAATTACATTTGAGTTCATATTTGTGGCTTGCATTATATTTTCATTGGACAGTGTTCACTTAAACTATGCTGCCACTCCATAGCTCTTAAGTTCATTGTGGCTCTACTTTCTGTGCTATCACAAGTTGATTCCGTTTACCTAACCTCCTCCCTGCTCATTATCACTAGCATGCTACTTGACTTTGTCTTACCTTCTGAGGCAAAATGAGCTCTTTGGCCGCGTTCTGCAAATGAAGAAATACAGTTGTGGTGGCAGAGAACCGATGAGCAGAGTTATTAAGTGCAGAAGTACTAATAGTACAAAGGATGAGATTGGTGCCAAAAAGAAACTCTCATAAAATTGTGATATCTCTCTGTTTTACAGAGAAGGAAACCAACACGCAGAGGGGTTAATGTGATATCTGCATCTGGGCACCTTGTATGATTTAAAGAATGCTGAAAAGCTCATATACTCAAAAATACATCCCTCTTACCCCTCTACCATTCCAAAGTGTTTTTGATGTAATATTTGAAATTTCCTCTTCTTGTATTTTTCTTTCTTTTTTTGCTTTTTTTAACCCAGTAACTTTTTTTTTTCTTCTTTTTTTTGAGATGGAGTTTCGCTTTTCTTGACCAGGCTAGAGTGCAGTGGTGCCATCTTGGCTCACTGCAACCTCTGCCTCCTGGGTTCAAGCAATTATCTCGCCTCAACCTCCCTAGTAGCTGGGACTACAGGCGCCCACCACCATGCCCAGCTAATTTTTGTATTTTTAGTAGAGACGGGGTTTCACCTTGTTGGCCAGGCTGGTCTCAAACTCCTGACCTCAGGTGTTCCGCCTGCCTTGGCCTCCCAAAGTGCTCGGATTACAGGCTTGAGCCACCATGCCCAGCAATCTTGTAAATATTTACTGAGCATATACTGTGAGCTAGTTATTTAGAGGTGTCAAAAAGTAGTCAATGTCGTTGCATAAAAGTGTACTCTAACCACAAAAATGTCAGCATGGTATTTTTCTTGGAAAGAGTAATAAGGAAAATAGTTAACATACTTGTTATATGAAATATATCTAACTCTTAGCTAGCAAAGCCCTGAGGAAGCACAACGTAGGACAGAGAATTTTAATAAGGAAAAAGAAAAATTGGTGAGGAAATATCTAGAGCCGGTGTTGCTAAAGAGGTTTGGGAATCACTGGTGATACGACTTAGCTACTAGGGTCAGCATAAAAGTAATATGATTTTAACAGGAGGTGGGGGAGAAGTGACAAGAGCGATATAAGCAAAGAAATTCTGAAAGCTTTCCCACACAAAAAGTAAACTTTATTCAGGGCCAATCCTGCGAGAACAAATCGTTTAATTTTCTAAGTTATTTAGATTTTCTCCTCTTGAGATTATTCCATTTCTCTGGAGAAACAAGAGATGTTTTTGAGTTAAAAAGCAAACACTAGTAAAGGGATTGTAAGAGGAACTAATAATTGCTTTCCTAATGCCTAGCTGAAGTACCCCAAGGAAATGGGAATTTTGATTGGCAAAGGTTAGAGGAGAAGAATTGAGTTTCAATCTGGAAATTACTGTTACTAGAATACGAGAGCAGAGCCAGACACGGGCATGGCTTTTTGGAGGGCTTTGGCACAGAGAATGAAACACGATATCTAGTCTAATAAAGTAAGGTGGGGAAGAGATGTAGGTAAAGAGGCAGGAAATGGGTAGGAATATGAAACAGCATAAACTGGAATGTACATTGTGACTTCAGCCATCTGAAATTAGTATGATGATGAGACTGGCATAGTATGAAGTAAGGAAAATAGTAGAGATGGTGGCATTGTCTGACTTTAAACAAAATTATTTTATGTTGGCCAGGCATGGTGGTGCATGCCTGTAATCCCAGTACTTTGGGAGGCCTAGGCGGGTAGATCACCTGAGGTCAGGAGTTTGAGACCACCCTGACCGACCCATTGTATTTTTTAGTGGAGATGGGTTTGAAACAAAATTTAGTATTGTATTTTTTTATATTTTATATAAAATATATTGCATATATTGTATTTTTTATATTTTATATTTTGAGACCACTCTGACCAAAAAATATATTTTTTATATTTTATATGAAATATATTTTATATATTTTTTATATTTTATATTTTGAGACCACCCGAACCAACCCATTGTATTTTTTAGTAGAGATGGGTTTGAAACAAAAATTAGCCAGGTGTGGTGGCACATACCTGTAATCCCAGCTACTTGGAAGGCTGAGGCTGGAGAATTGCTTGAACCTTGGAGGCAGAGTTTGCGGTAAGCTGAGATTGTGCCACTGCACTCCAGCCTGGGCAAAAAGGGTGAAACTCAAAAAAAAAAAAGAAAAATTATTTTATCTTTTGAATATAAATATGCTATAAAGAGAGGTCAATGTTGAAGCATTTTAATTCCACCCAGAGTTGACTGTATTTCCTTTTTTCCAAATGTTCGCCTGGTATAAGCTAACTTATGCCGAACCACCTCTTCCAATTTTTGACCTAATATAGCTATCAGATTTTTGTTTCTTGTTTTTTTGTTTATCTGGAATATCCCATTAGTAGCAAGACCTTATGAATTCTTTCTTTGAAATATTTTCTCTTTCTATATACTGATACTTCACAACCTGATTTATCTGCAAATTGTATCATTCTTTGTCCTCTAAGTTAGCCTACATATCAGTGTACTTTTCCTAAAGCATCAGTTTCATCCTTTACTCCTCTCCTTAAAAGTATAAAGATCCCTGTGATCTTTCACATGCAGCCAAACGTATCATCATATTTAGGATTTTCTAAAATCTGTTCACATTTACTCATTCAGGTTTGTTTGCTGCTACTTTACAGTATAAATCTTTTGTATTAAATCTTCTTATAAGCTATCCATGTGACTTGATCTTTCTTATATGTGCCTTCTCCATTTATTCTTCCCCTCAAAAGATGCTTTTTCTCCCATTGCCATTCCAAGTTATGCTCTTTTTTTTTTTTTTTTTTTTTTGAGATGATTAACCAGGTTTGGTGCATGCCTGTAGTCCCAGCTACGCAGGAGGCTGAAGTGGGAGGATCACCTGAGTCTACGGAGGTCAAGGTTGCAACAAGTCATGATCATGCCACTGCACTCCAGCTTGGGCGACAGAGTTAAGAGTCTGTCTCAAAAAAAAAAAAACAAAAGCAAAAACAAAGAGTCTTCTAAAATTTGCAGTATCAGTTACGTCACTAAGTCTATATCTCACAAAAAAATCAGCTGACTAGTTGTGTGGAAGGGTAGAGACAAATTAACCAGTTGACAAGATTTTTTAAAAATAAAATTTGTTGCCGGGCGCGGTGGCTCACGCCTGTAATCCCAGCACTTTGGGAGGCCGAGGCGGGTGGATCACGAGGTCAAGAGATCGAGACCATCCTGGTCAACA